CATTTCTAAGGAAACAAATCTAGGTAACTGAAATATGCAGCTCCACGCATTTTATTTACTGGAGGCGTCAACTGTTGGACACTACCAGGTGCCACCTAGAGTTAATGAATAGATGCAAAGCACACTGAACAACTGAGGGACTATTGGTTTACATGTGCACACACACACACACTTTAGCCATTGAGGTTACAGACAATGGACTCAGTCACTGAACAAATCTAAATTCTGTGTTGCCGTTTGTGACTCATGGTAACATGTCTTTAGGATTCCAAGGTCTTTGCTGAGCTTCTGGCAGACTGTGGCTCTCCTATGATCAGACAATAGCTCAGAACCCTCCAACCTGATGCTACAGCCAGTCATCAAACTGGACTGTTAGTAAGATCAAGTAGTATTTTCATCTCTGTTCTTCATAGTATTACATTAACTATCGATGCTGTAAAACTAAACATGGCAATGTGTTTTCTCAGAAAAAAATGTATCAGCTCTTTACAGACACTACTTATAATCCATCATGGAGCTGACCTCTTATTATCAAACAATTCCTTTATCCAAAAGGTCAAAAAGAAAAAAAAAGTCTGTATCTATCTCTATAGTTTTTTTTTCGTTTGGGCAGTCCTGGGGTTTGAACTCAGGGACTTGAGCCTGTGCACTACTTGAGCCACACCTTTTGCTTTGGTTATTTTTGAGACAGGGTCCTGCTTTATGCCAGGTCTGGCCTGTGCTTCCTGTGTAGCTGGGATTATAGATGCACCCCACAGCACCCAGACATTGGTTGAGATTGGGTCTCGAGAACTTTTTGCCCAGGTTGAGGCACAATCCTAGATCTCTGCCTCCTGAGTAACTAGAATTAGAGACTTGACCCGCTGTGCCTGACAATCTGCGTTTCTTCAACTTATTCAACACAGCAGGTGGATTTTACATTCATAGTGTTACTCTCAAAAAATAATGTTTTCTAACCAGTTAAAACTGCTTTTTTCCCTGTATTATTTTATAGTCAATGAGCTGAAAAAGTATGCAGTATACCCACCATCATACTTCATTTTTATACTGAGCTGTCTACTTCTGTCTAATTGTAGACATATACCCACTCCCCACCTTCATCATTAATTTCTCCTGTCATGATTCTTTCACAGGCTCCAGGCTCTTTGGGACAAGGCCAATATGGTAAATGGTGACAACTGGGCTCCTGAAAGGCTAGGCCATCACTTCCTTTCCAAAATGGAAACACATTTCACAAACTGGCTTTCCAAACAACCAGTCTAAATTTCACTGACAGAGCTATCAATGAGGGAAGAAAACAAAAACAAAACCTACAATGCAAATTTGCTGCAAGGAGCTATTAAATAAGGAAAGGGAAGGCATGTTGAAAAATCAGATTTCTCAACCAGTAACACTGAAACATGTAACGCACACGTTTTCTTATATTCACGTTTTAAAATGGCATAACAGGCTACATGCACTGCAGGTGGAACAAAAGGAAGATTCAAAATAGAAATCAAACTTTCTTTCTTTTTTAGAAAGAATACTGTAAACACTAAAAGTAAAATTCACAGCCAACAGGCACAGAGCTGCAAGACAAACCTTGGCCAAGTGTGCTGGGAAAGACTTATACAGAACATCTCCGACATGTTCCTTTCACTTATTTTTAGTTAGGGAGGAAGTGTTGTATTCTAAAGAAGCTCTCTGGATGCTGCTGGCTGAAACACAGACTTGATCTTCTCGTGCTGGTTAGCTAACATTGATTTTCTGCCCCAGTGGAAGAGATTTTACTCTGACGCATGCCATTTAAATTCATTTTACACAGCTGCTTAATGTGGCTTGGCAAGGAACAGCCAAACTAGCTTTGTGGGTCTAAATAGCACTCCTGAGTTGGTAAAGGACAGAGCCTGTGGATAAGCAGCTGATGATAAATGCCTTTCTGTCTGTGTTATCTTCCTATTGACTCATGAACTGACCTTGAAGGTACCATGAGAAAGTTCAAAAGAGGAAAACACAGTTCTCAAGAATAACTGCCCACCTCATTCTGCAGTTGCTGTTTCACTTTGAGGGTTATGGTTACAAAATTCTATTATTTGTTGGTCCACATGTAGGACCATGTTTACAGAATTTAGAACTCTCAATTACAAAATGATCATTTGTGCTTGTTGTCTAAACACACCAAGTATAAACTATTAAAAAGCTGCACCATGCATCCACAATAAATTTGTGAAAGCACAGCTCTCTAGTTTACTGTTGAAACAAAGCCAGTTGATAGTTCCCTGTCTGACTTTAATCAAAGAGGTATGTCTTTACCTAAACTAAGACAATTAAGTCTATATGACAAATCTTATCATTAACACACACAAAATGATATCAGTAATGCTTTTGCTTAGTAAATCACTCAACAGCATACATAATATATGTAATTTTTAACTTAAAGTGCTGACGGAGCATATTAATAGTTCTGTACCAGGAAAGAGAAAAGAAACTTTTTGTTGCTGCATGTAATTCCTGTATTGAAATGGACAATAATATTGACACACTGTGTTTAGGTAGAAAATTCTATGTTGGATTATTTTGTTGGCTCCCCCTCCCCCCCATGACTTCAACATTCTAACCCTCTTTGGAAGAAGAGAACAATAGAACACTCTGCCCAGGTATAGGCTCAGTGGTGCCACAGAACCTCCCCTATGTCCTCTGAGTGGCCCAGGATGACCTACAGCTCTAGACTTGTGTAGCCTCACTATGTGGTGCTACTCTGGGTAGTGGGTAGTGGGTGTGACAGCAGCTCTCTGCAGTGGCAGGAATGGTATTTGCAGTCATGAGGATGGTGCTGTGCAACATAGGTTCCTAGACAAAACACCAACCGTGAAGGGAGAAAGGGTGCCAGGGTAGGTGATTTCATTGATTTTATGGACATAAATTTTCTATTTTCCTTCTCAGGCATAAAGGAAAGCAACCATGCTAAAAGCCATGCACAGACAGGACCTAGAAGGCAGCATGCAGGTTTCCACCAAACTGCCACAGGATGGTTTAGAAGAAAGAAAAACAAAAGAAACACAACACAAAAGGACAAAAAGACGACCCCTCAGATGAGTTTCCTGTGAGGTCTTTTCTGTCTGGGTTTGGGCATTCCGTTCGCAGCCAGAGGGCAGGTTTGCTGACAGTTTAAAAGGAAACGCCCAGATCCCTCAGCAAGCCCAGGGGATGTTGCTACCTACCCGTACTGGTCAGGCTGGTGCATCATGGGAGCCTGGGAGCTGCCATAGTTGGGGTGCTGGGAAGAAAACATGGGGCGTCCGCCAGCCCCAGACTGGCTGGGATAAGCAGGCGACCTAATGTATGGTGGCCTAAAGTGGAACAGAAGAACAGCTTCTTTGGTTTTGTTCGGAAGCACAATTTGAATCCCTGTCCACATGCTATTTATTCCATACGTAGGTGTGGGTTACAGATAGGGTAAATAAGCGGAATACCCTCGATCATGCAGCTGCCTGGGGGTGGGCCTGGATCAAAGAAGAGAGAAGTAAGATTCTCAGATCTAATCTCAGTTTACAGACTTAAAGTATAGCTTTGACTTTGGTAAAATAAAAACAAAATAAAATGAACAGCCCCATTTAAACTCCTGGACAGCTAAATGGGGCAGTATGTGAAGGTAAGGCTTTGGAATAGTCTATTGATTAGAAATCAACCAACCAACAAACAAAAAAGGCACAGTTATGTAGTTATACATTAATTTCTACAAGATGACAAGTAAACCAACTCATCAGGCAGAATTTGCCTTAATCTCTATGGTTATCTTCCTCTAGATTACCAGCAGAGGCCTATATCAATGCAATCACGTACTTTCTACTTAACAGAAGGGAAATAACTCATGTGTTACGCGTTACAACAATGGACAATTCATTTAAACTTAAATTAGAACTTCAATTGGACCAGCCGAACCAGTCTTCACAGACAGGTTTATTCAAACATTCCCTACAGCCTGGCAGGTCTGGCTGCGAGGTGGATGCTTGTGTTCAGGAGATTTTAGGAAATTGCCATGTGGGTGAGACAAAGACAGAGGTAATGATTAATTTTCATTTTAATTCCTCAGGGAAATTTATTATTATTTGGAGCAAATAATGAGACTGAGGGGTCCCTACATTCCCAAAATAGCAGCTTTTCAGGGGAAAAGAAAAAAGGGACACATTTATACACACACACACACACACACACACACACACACACACACTCATGCACACTTTATTTCCCTCTGACAAAAGTCAGAATCTTTTCTTCTTACCACTGAGATATACATCTCCATTTTGTTTTAAGAGGTATTTACATCTGCTTCTGTTAAAAATTCATCTCTGCTTCATAAATTTTTAATTATGTTATTTTTACGCAGGTTAAGTATTTAAGAAGAATCAGGATTAAAAACAAGTAACTAACGGAAGCTAAAGCTTTGCTCCACCAATTTAAACTTTCTAAACTATTATAATTTTTGGTTTAACAGCCACATTTTGGTTTGGACAAAGACATACCAAGAAAACAAAATTTAAGTGTGTGAAATCATACACATATACATTTAGAGCAACACACAATACACATATGTACACATACACAGTTTCTTTCTTATAAAATTTTTAAGGTGGGATTAAAAAAAGTGTGTGTGGGGCACATGTTTTAGATTTTAATCAGTTTTTGGCTTCATGTGTCTTGCCAAAGCTCATCCTTTTACATGGACGCACACAGCCACTTCCCAACCCAACAGGATCTGGTGCTTTTTGTGATGACTCTGCAGATACTTCACGTCACCTCTGACAACTGACTACCCACAGCTCAGACTGCTTCCTTAGTGGATCATAAAACCTGGTCTGTCACTTGCTTCCCTGACAGCATATATTTAACACACAAAGACAAGCCAAGCAAACGTAGCTTCGGCTGCCCTTGCACACTGTAGGGAACGGATGCAGCTTGTTTGGTTATGTGGTCACATGTCAACACAGAGAATACTGGCCCATAATGTTGGGGTGGCATACCTGCTTTGTGCTGAATTTGCGGCAGCCTGCATCACGGCTGCAGCAGCCTCCTGGGCCTTACGGTTCACAGTGGGCATTGGTGGCCCCATTCCTGGCCCCCCCTGCTGAGACATGCCAGGAGAACTGGGCGTCACGCTGCTCATACTTCCAGGAAACGGTCTGTTCTGCATCCCAGCTGATGGCATTCGTCCCAGGGGCATAGCACCACATGGCTGGCTTGGCCCTTGTCCATGCATCTGGTTGTTGGCATTGATACCCATACCGGGCCCTGGGCTGCTGTAGCTTGCACCAGGCACCCCACTATATGTTGGAGTTCTGGAGTAGTTACCTAAACAAAAAGCAAACACAAATTGAAGCCTTTTATTTAATCTTTAAATTTGCAAAAACATTCCCTGGAAATATTTTTTGTGCAACACTGTGCTCACCACAGAGCATTAGTCATGATCCCTATTGTCCCCTCCTGTTGGTGCAGATGAGGCTGCCAGTCCCAAAACATGCTCTCTCTGAACGCCCTTAGAGAGTGAGTTCAATGAGAAAGAGCCCACGGGACCCCTGCAATGTTGAGGAGAAGTGTAGGCTAATTGTCAAATGGGATACCAGAACCAATGTTGCTTTAATGTGTCCAACACCTTACATTCTTACTTTTTAACAAAAAATCATTATTTGAACTCCCAGTCTTCAGCCATGGAGACTGCCCTGCCACATCACTCCTACAGCTAACAGTTACTGTAACAGTAACAGTTGCTGTAGGTTAAAGGCATGGGGACCAAAGCTATCCTTTCCTAGCCCACAGGTGGTGTCGTGTGGGCCATGTGACATTATTCACAGTTTTTCTTCAACGTTGGGAGCAACCTTTTTAGCATTTTGCTTGAGTACCAGATGGAGTGGTTGCTACGGGCTTGGTTCTGTGTCTTATGAGTCCAATCACTAGCGTGGCAGCAGGCATAGTGAAATGGTGGCATGAGAAGCAGGCAGTTGGAGGAGCCACACCACACACACTCCCTTTCCAGCTGGCCCAGGGCACATGCTCAAGAGAGCAGGGCACCTGCAAGTCTCTGGCTGTTTTGGTAGCTCTAGATTCCCTTTTCTGCCACACCTTTTATTGTGACTGCATGTATATAAATTAAAATAAAGGCAAATGTGGTGCCACTTCAATAATAACAACAGATGCTAATTGTTGAGCACAGTGTGCGCTAGACACCAGGTTAAGTGTTTTGTCCCCAGGGAATTTGTGCTTTTCTCCCAGTAACCAAATGAACAATGATACCACCATTTATAAGGAAGGAAAAATAAGAACCTGAAGGTTAGGAGTGAAGTTCAAGCAAATTGATTCTGGAAGCCATGTATTCAGCAAAAGATGAAATAAAATACATGTAAAAAGACAAATGTTTGTAGAATATGGATTAGCATTTCTCAGTCAGTCCCAACTACTGTTTGGAAGACTTTCTCATCTGTTTAATAACTACACACTCATCATATGTGGGAACTGTTCCAGGCACAGATGACGTAAAGTTAAGTACACTGTCATCCTGCACTTGGGACACTTACAATCTACTCATTTGTGTGCTGGAGTAGGAGGGGTGAAGAAAAGAAAAAGCACAAAGGCAAACCATGAGATCTACATGGGAGTAAGTCTGTCTGGAGTGTGGTTCAGGGGACCCTTTGTAGTGGAGTACAGTGGAGACATCTCTGAACAAATGGTTTGAGCAGAAACCCCAGAACCCATATGGGGTAGGCTTCCAGGCTGCAAGAGTTGTAGGCCCTTAGGAAACCTGGTCTTATCTCTTCCTTCACTGTAAGACAGAGTTGTCAGGACTAAATGATGCTCACAAGTCAGAGAGGGTGGGGCTTATCACTGGATGGTGGGTGAATGGGGCAGAGGACAAGATGGGCACTCAGGGATGAGCAGGAGACACTGCCCAGCTGGCAAGAGAATGTTGCTGGGGCTGGGGGATAACCATGAGGAGGTGGCCAGATCCAGCAGGGCCTTGAGGACCAAGATTCTAAGTTTGGGTTTTATCCTGAAGATAAGGAACTTATCAAGGATTTACAAAGAAACAGATGGGTTAATAGCAGTGATAAAAAGAAAATACTTCATATGCACTATGTGCCAGGTTCAGGTCCAAGTTCCTTGTATTAACTCACTGACTCCTTACATGGAGCCCAAGAGCACAATATGGTACCCTTCATTTTGGAGATGAGGACCTGAGGCAAAGGGACATTAAGTGATCTGTGTCAAATTGAGCCAGAGCTTGAGCTGGGCAGACTGTGTGTGTGACATAGAGTCCAAATGCACCACACTCTGATCTGCTGCCTCTCTGATGCTTAAGAAGCATTATGCTTATTATGTGACAGTATTTCTTAAATTCACCCAAATAAAGCAGTATCATTCTAAATGTGAAAGAAATTCAACAGTTTTCAACTCATTGGGTGCCTGCTCTGCTAGGGGCATCATGTGAGTTTTCTTCTTCAACTGTCCCTGAAGTAGAAACCATTATTTACAAATGGTGCCAAGGCCACTGTTCATGCAGACCATGGGCTGGCACACTTTTTCTGCCAAGGATAAGAGAGTAAATATTTCAGGCTTTGTGAATCAGATAGGCTACTTCAACTTCTCAATTCTGTCACTGTCGCCCCAAAGCAACCACATATGCAGATACATAACAGGGTTCCAATGAAAGTTTCCTTACAAAAACAGGTGTTAGGCGGAAGTGGGTAATAATTTTGTTCATCACGCTGAAGACCAATCTCGGCACATGCTAATAAACACAGCAACAGGAAGAAAGCTTGGCTCGACTCAGCAGCATCTTTAATCAGAGCGCTGCCTGGAAGCCTGAAGGCAGGCTTAAGAGGATTGTCAGTGCAGCAGTGGCAGACCCAAGGAGCTACAGACATAGAGGAAGACATGGGGGATGTAAGACACAAGTAGAGCTGCCCTTGGTGCCCTGGGTCGCGTGAGTCAGGCTAACAACCAACTCATTCATGCTGCCATTGCACAGTTAGTCTGTGTAGAAATAATCAAACCTACACTGGTTTAAAAAAAGTGAAACTATTCATCAGTTGCAAAATTCCTTACAGAAAGTTCTGAAGTTGCTTCTGAGTTTCCCATCCCTGCAGACAAATGTAAGACTGCTAGCTATTTGCCAGGGTCTACCTTGGTGGGAAGGGTATCTTCTGCACGTTGGGTGGTAAGGGACAGGGGACTAGGGGGTGGGGAGGCTTCTTCCCACACTCTTCTCTCTGAGTAGGAATTCAGACTCTTCTTCCTGACTTCACAGCTCCTGGCTTCCAGATTATCTGATAAGATCAGTGAAATACAGTGTTCGTTTTTGACTCTTGCTTTTATTAAAAACAAACATACTCATTCATGGCTTGAATGCACAAGTAATTAATTCACACACTCAAGCAATTACTTGGGGCTCCTTTATGCCCTCCCTCGACACTTGATAAGTGACTCATTGGCTAAGAAGCCTTTTTTCTTCAGTGAAAACATGTGCTCTTTGCTTTCGAAGGAAATGAAATAGCACTTTAATTTTGCTTTAGAAAACAAGCATTTAGACATGGTTATTGCAGACTATACTCTTAATGCAGTTTTATTAGACAAAGGGTATCTGGTCTTGTTGAATTATGCTTACTGTTGGGATGGAGAAATGTTGTTACTTTTAAGTTCTGGCATCTTGGGTCTGAGTGGCAGTCATGGCTGGATGTTAATGAACACAGAGGAAAGAATGACAAAGGGTTTGGTCACCCTGTTCCCTACTTTAACGTCTCATTCCTTGGTGGACTAAAGAGCAAGAGCTTGTGCACCATGGCTGGGCTCACTCACAGTGGGGCTCTGTCTTCCACAGGAAGCACTCTGGCTAGAGTAACCACTGTGTCCCCAGTGTGCAGACCTGAGTGTGCGCTTTGCAGGGTGCATTTAACACTAGGCTCCTAGTTTATTTTTCTTCAGTTGTGTTGACTCAAAATCATATGCTCTAATTATAGAGAACTTTATTTAGGAGAAGAAATACAAAGTCCCTTTTCCTTGAAACTTTAGACTTTTCTTATCAAACCCATACTCCTTGGATAAAAATGCTTTCGAAAGGCTGCAAATGGCTTCAGACGCAGCAATGGATGATGCGCAAGATTTAGCACTGGGGGCTGGGCACTGGTTCTAATAATTCCTGGCAGTATGACCTTCACGAGTTATTTAACTTCTCTGCTCATGGAGAACAGGTAGGGTGACTAGCATGATGCTGAACAGTGACAGTGGCTGTTGTTAGCATTATGCAGAATAACATTGAAACTACTACTCCACCACACTTTAAAGACATGGATGGAAGGGGCAAAAAATGATTCACCCTCTGTATATTCCACCAAATAAAGAGAAACCAAATATGTAAGCCAAGCAAAATAGGAGAGGAAGAGCCAGGAATGAGAAGTGTAATCTTCTTTCCATGTTTCTCTAATAGATTAGTAATTTGTTGGCACTAGCTCTGACAGAAACCAGATGGATACAGCATTAGGCACAATGAAGGCAGCAGATGCTGGGCCAGCCCACCTCAGCTGGACTGGTCCCGCAGCCAAGTCCGAGAGCCCACCACTTTCAAGTGGGTTCATCTTGGCACACCAGCTTTGGAAAACTGGTCATGAATGAATTCAGACTTTAACCCATCAGGAGTTAAGCACCAGATAGAGGAAGAAGTGCTAGACTCTATTCAAGTCACCACCATTATTTTAGGAAGATTGCAAATAATTCTGAATCTGACTGCTGAACATTTAAACTTGGTAGTTATAATCAAAACTCCAAGCTTACTACTTTTAAACCTCCAAGTGTTTCCATTCACAAATGAGATTTTGCGTTTTCAGTTTCAAGACTGAGGAAAGAGAAAAGGTAGACATACCTCATTCCCTCAGGTAGAAAAACTCTGCATAATTAGTTATATAACATGATAAACATATTTGTGAGTTTAGGCTAAACATGCATTATCTTTTTCTTTTTGCAGTGCTGGGAACTGAACCCAGGGCCTTGCACATGCTAGGCAAGTGCTCTACCACTTGGGCTACACCCCCAGCCTTTGGAAATTTGTTTTTTGCAGGATGGGAGTTGGAACTCAGTTTCATGCTTGCTGTGCAGATGCTCTGCTGCTTGAGCCATACTCCTGGCCTTTTTGCTTTAGGTTTTTTGTTTTTTGGCCCAGGCCAACTAGGACTGCAATCCTTGTATTTATGCTTCCTGTGTAGCTGGAATGACGGGTACAATCGCCATGCCATCCTACTGGTTGGGGTGGGGTCTTATTAACTTTTTGCTCAGGCTGGCCTCTCTGCCTCTGGAGTAGCTAGGGT